AGTATTTGTGATGATTAGGATGCAGTTCAACAGATGATTCGTCAGAAAAATCAACCTTCTGACACTTTTCCAAATAATCAACTGGAAGTCAAGTTATTATTTGTTGCTCTTACAACTGGGATCCACAACAAGACTTTGTACTGTTTATGGAGGTCATGGTTTGATTTTCAAGTTTCATTCTAAAAACCAATGAGGAGCCACTGATTTTGCAGAAGTTGCTGAAAAATGTAGATTGGCATCAAAACTTTCAAGTTCGGGCTTTTATAAAAGTATGATTGCATTTTAAGACTGCTGAAATCATAGAGCCAGTTTTTAAATACAAGAGTATACTCTTAGAAGGGCAACGCGGTGGCGCAGTAGGTAGTGCTGTCACATCACAGCAAGAAGGATGCTGGTTCGAGCCTTGGCTGGGTCAGTTGGCGTTTCTGTGTGGAGTTTGCATGTTCTCCCCGCGTTTGCGTGGGTTTCCTCCGTGTGCTCTGGTTTCCCCCGCAGTCCAAAGACATGCGGTACAGGTGAATTTGATAGGCTAAATTGTCCTTAGTGTATAAGTCTAAATGAGTGTGTATGGATGTTTCCCAGAGATGGATTGCAGCTGGAAGGGTATCCGCTGCGTAAAACATATGCTGGATAAGTTGGCGGATATCTCCACAAGCCACATAAAACAAAAATACGATGTATATGCTGAGTTCAGCGACTAATCAGCTGGAATCAGCCGAGGTGAAGTGATGGCGACCAGCAAGACTTAGCTGTCCCTCAAGTGGCCACTCCCTTAATTATGCAAACTTAATATAACATAACAATATAAAGGAAACAGATGAGCTATATGGACCAAAATTGGGCGAGGCAGTGGCGCAGTAGGTAGTGCTGTCGCCTCACAGCAAGAACGTCGCTGGTTCGAACCTCGGCTCAGTTGGCATTTCTGTGTGGAGTTTGCATGTTCTCCCTGCCTTCGCGTGGGTTTCCTCCGGGTGCTCCGGTTTCCCCCACAGTCCAAAGACATGCGGTAGGTGAATTGGGTAGGCTAAATTGTCCGTAGTGTATGAGTGTGTGTGTGAATGTGTGTGTGGATGTTTCCCAGAGATGGGTTGTGGCTGGAAGGGTATCCGCTATGTAAAAAAACTTGCTGGATAAGTTGGTGGTTCATTCCGCTGTGGCGACCCCAAATTAATAAAGGGACTAAGCCGACAAGAAAATTAATGTATGAAGGAACTAAAATCGTTCTTTGTATACCAGACTGTAAACACCTTTTTTTCTGCTGTAAAGTTGTCCATTTTAACAGTGGGCTCAATAGAAATGTGCTCTATTATGGAGCCAGGACCAGGAGAATTTTGATGAATTGCAGTTTCCATTACTTCCGTATTTGCTTCACTAAGGGAGAGCGGGAGGTTGGCGCTTTTGTTTTTAACCCATTAATTAATGTTTACTAATGAGACTTTGTGTTACCTATTGTACTTTAGCATCCTTTTGCAATTTAATTTGTTTAAAACATTTACCTACTATCAACATTTATGTACAATAAGGTATTTTTAGGTTACCTGTTAAAAAATTATTGATGTTAATGAAATGTTTTTCAGTTGCCTGCTAAATAATTACATTAATATTGTGATAATCCCATAATACATAATTAAAATATTTAGTTAATCACAAAAAAATTTGATGCCTACTCCAACAACCCAAAATGAAATTTGTTAATTAATCCAACAGTTTATTTGACCCATGTTTTAGCCAAATTATGGTCGAAATTATGGTTGTAATCAAATGCAACCATACTCTAAAATGGTAATAGGTTGCATCATCATTTTAGATTATGATTGTATTTGACTACAAATTAAGGTAATGTCTGTCCTTTCAACTTGATGGAGGGCTCTAGCTTTGAGTTCACAGTACTGTAACAGTAAAAAGTGCCAAGTGAAAGCGAGGTTGTGCAGATTAGTGTGGTCTCTAGTGGATTTCGGTGTGAGATTTAACAGTTTTTGGAGGCTGGAGGAAGATGATGCCCCTGCAGAAAGTCAATATGTGCTGGTTGTTTATTTGTCAATACTAGTGATGCTGTCATTATGGAGAAAGCTTTTCTCACAATATACTGTAGCACACTCTGGAATACAAGACCTGCTTCATAATGTCAAAACCACTTCCAAATATACAGAAGAGGCAGTCCATGCATATTCAGCCAAAAGAAAAGTCTTTCCTCAGTCAGAGCAGGCTAGACTTTTGGTTTTTAAGGTGTTCAGGCTCACGCATTCTTTAGTCATATTTCTTCTTCCATTACATTTTCTCTATATACATTGCGGTGAACATGAGAAGCCACTCAGGCAGACAGTGTACTCTTATGCTTCAGCTAATTCTTTTCGACATTGAGACCCTTAGGGGCAAACTACTATCGCAAGTAGGAACGTAGCATGCAACAGCAAATTCCCCATGGTGGCTGAGTCCGACCCCTTCTGTTCAGCTGTTTTGCTGAGGAAGAGGAGGAGGCATGAAATGGCTCTGCATGATTGATTGTGATCCTACAAACAATATGCCCTTTAAATGAACAGTGAAATGAGTAGGAGTACAGTTTCCTTTATTCTAACATCATAAAGTGACACTTGCTGTACACATGTTGGGTTGTATTAACCCAATGTGGGGTCAAACATTGACTAACACAAGAGTTAGGCTTGAAGAAATATATAATTTAAGTGGAAACAATAATGCAACGGTTGGGTTAGTTTTTAATTGACCCAATGTTAATACAACCCAGCTTTTTTTTAAAGTGTATGAAATATAATCTTGATCCTGTAATGGCTAAACATTGTGAACATTTTGTCAGCCATTATTAATGATGTGTTCTTAAGAGTCTTGTGTACTCGCAGCTATACTTTACGATAAATACTTTACGATACTTTACGATATGGTCCTTAAGATGGTTGGTAAATTATATTAAATCAAATGGTGATAATTTATGTCAATAACAATGATAAGCTCTGGACTCTATTACTCTATATCAGGGGTCACCAATCTCGTTCCGGGAGGTCCGGTGCCCTGCAGGGTTTATCTCCAACCCCCCTCAACACACCTGCCTGTGTGTTTCAAGTATACCTATTAAGACCTTGGTTAGCTTATGCAGGTGTGTTTAATTAGGGTTGGAGCTAAAATCTGCAGGACACCGGACCTCCAGGAACAAGTTTGGTGACCCCTGCTCCATATTGATCTAAGAGCCAATCACACAGCAGAAATGTGCAACAATGGAAATCTAAAAGTGTGTTGATAGTACCCTACCTTAAGGACAGTCTGGGAGGGGATTTTTACCTCCTGTTTCCCCCCAATGTGTCTTATTTCCTATTTGTCTATGCTACCTCTCAACTGACCTGTCTTACCCTGAAATCTGTGATGTTTGTGTTTGTATCAAATTTTTGGCCATCAAAAATGTATCGACCGAAAATATGCTGTTTAATTGACCCTCTCATTTTTGTGGCTTTATTCATTGTTGGGGTACCCTTTTAAATGTGGAAGCTTTAATGACTGATATTGAAAATATATTGTTGTTCAATATGAAAAATAATCACTTTGTTTTAGACTAACCTAATATTTTAAATATTATTATTTAAAATAATGCATTTTTGCCATATCGTCCAGGCCTTTAAAGTGTGACTTTTTTTTAAAGAGATACAAAACGTAATGATGATAATAATCTGCCAGAATTATCTGACCATTCACCTGACAAAAACCTATTTGAGTCTCTTTCCTCTGTTAAACACAAACAAAGATATTCCAAAGAGAGTTGTAAACTGGCCATTGACTTCCATAATATTTATTTTTCCTAATATTGATATAAATGGATCACTGTAAAAATGCATTGGATTAAAGATAAAACATTTAAGTTATGCCCTAAAAATCTCAAGAATTGTTTTGTTATAGCTTATTTTAAAGAAGTAGTTTGAGCAAGCAGCAAAAATATTTTCTTGGGTGGTGCAAGTTGACAACCTTCTTCTAAATATAGCAGAAAAAAGACAATCATAAAGGTTTGGAACCATTTGAGGGTGAAGAAATAGTGAGTAAGTATAAATTTTAGAGTGAACTATCCCTTTAATCTGTTAATAATTAAGTGTAAAAGTCCTTTCTGTGCTGCATGATCAGTTGTTAAAAGTAAATTACTTTTCCTCTAAATTAGACTTGTATAGAGCAGTTTTATGCTGATATTTTAAATACTGCAGGCTTTGTATGACTCCTCTTTTTATTATTATTGATTCATTCATCTTAAGTCGTTTGATAACTGCACAAACATCCATCGCATCTGTATAAATTATACAGTACATATTTCAGTGGTTTTCGAAATAATTATATTATCTGATATGATCTGGTTTGTTGTTAAATTATTGCTTTGGCATGGTAAGTGACTGTGTTTATTTCAGTTCTTGTTATTAGCATTAGTTATTAGGGTGGTCTGGATGATTGTTATTTAATCGGCCAAATAGACTATTGTAAATGAAGGTTAAAATATAATGATTATTATTTTGGATTGAGATCATTATCAGTGGTACAAACATTAACCTATTAATATATTTTGTTATGGTGTGGATACTTTAAGCTTATGTCCTCATGATAATACAAGATAATTATCTTTAAATAATTTGTATGTTATCTTATTTTTAGGCAGTACGATACCTTTGTTGTTTGTTTCAGTAGCCTACTTTAAATAGGCTCTAGTTGTTTTCTTTAATCTAATGTCATGTGGCTGCTCTGTATGCACAGTTTTGACACTCACTTTTGTGAAAGTGTGATTTTTCTCTCATCTTCTTTCAGCTAATTAAAATAAGCATTCTGCTGTATTCTTTCTCTTAAGCAACAGGACAAGTGACTAAAATAACGCTTTATGTTCTTGTTAGCTCGTATGATATTAGATGGCCACACCCCTGCAAACGCCTGTCAGATTAGCGCGCATTATTTCTCTCTCTCGCTCTCTCTCTTTCTCTCTCTCCCGTTCGCGCGCTCATCTCCATCATCCTCTCGCTACTGAGAAAAAAATCCCGCCAGCGCGAAACAGATGGGAAGGCATCCGCGGAATTTGCGACCGTTACCGTCCAGTGAATAACCGTCAAAACTTAACGGACACCGACAAGAAGTTGAGCTCGTCCGGAAGACTTCTGGACTGAGAACTTGAGGACATTTCACGCTTGTTCACGACTGGAAAAGTAAGTTTTACATTAACAAAGGTGTTCTAAATGCAATTTTAGTGAGTGAAATGGATTGATACGTACAATATGTGGAAATGAAAGCGTCTTTCGACAAATTAAAACTTTGAAGAACAGAACAATGGTAAATGTTAGATAGTTTTGGTCACCTTTAGGGTTACATGTGTGTTTATATTACAGTACGTTGTAATTGTACACGTACTGGGTAAATAACACCAAAACACATTAAATGGACGTTAAACTTGAGTAATATATATTCGTCTTCATGTAACGTTATTTGTTTGATGTGATCTGCTGCATGAAAGACGCACTGCTGCGGAAGGATTTGTAATACGGTGGGTTTTTACTTAGCAGTTTTGTGTTTCATAATAATCAATGCGAAAATGTCCTTTACGATAAATTATCAAGTTTAATCAAAAATGCATTTGTTACGACTACTTGTTGACAGGAGAGTCGTGTGAAACTGTGAGCCGTCGAATGATAGACGCATCCATTCATAATAAAGAACCTAGGTATAAGAGAATGAAAGTATTTGTGATTAGGAGCTTGGTTTGGGTTCGTTTGTTTAAAGAAGAATATTTTGATCTCTACTGATAAAGTGTAAAAGTTCACCATCTTTCTCGTGCTGCATGATAATTTACCCCACCCCCAATCTAATGTGTTACTTTTAACAAGCAATTACATAAAGCCTTGTCCTTTATCCTTTGTGTGTGTGTCATAGTGTAAGACCTATTATCATAGTTAAGACCTATTTTTTTTCCTTTTACTGCAAAAAAAGTCTTCTCATCACCATTTATTCAGTAATTCATCATGGTTGTTCATTAGTTGGTTTAACAATTCCTTTATTTAGCGGACATTTATATGTAAATCACAATAGCCATTATCGTGATGTTCCTATTATTGTGGTGTTTAGATAATTATGCTAATAGAAAATAAATAGTGTTTGCATATTCATTTTGCTTTTGTCATTTTCACTTTGCATAATGTGATGTACAATGCTTATTGTTTGTTGTTTTAAAAAGTAATGTACAAATCCATTATATTATTATCTGCATGACCAAATCAACAGAACTCATTGTGTACTTGTATAAATTGTATCATATTCTAAACCAATCCACGCAGGACTGGTTCAATACTGTCTTGTGAATCTGATGGGGTGGGTTGCTTTCTAGTTTGTAGCACTCAAATTAAGTGCTTGGTGTGGGCTGTGCATATAGTGTTGCTGTCCGTGGTCCTGAAACGTGGCTGCCATAATAAAAGCAGCACTCAAACAATACTACTCCAGTGATTGACACCAGAGTTTCTTCCTTACTGCTGGACCTTGAGCTGTAGAGTCAGAACTCTGAAAAACGGCACATACTGCCTCTAGATAGCTACAACAACCTTTTGCAGGCATCTTCTTCTGTCCATACAAAACAGGAGCTGCTCTGCTGAATGCTCATATTTCAGTTTAATAAGAAATAAAATTGATATAGCAAGAGGCCATGATTAATAACAAAAGTTTCTCATACTTGATTAAGTTTTTAAAAATGTATTATTAGTATTTGTATTAGTATTATGAAATAGATTTGTACAAGTTTTGGATTGTACCTCTTAAAGCTCATCTAAACGATCCTTGTGAAAAAAAAGATTATATTGGAAGTAAATGGAAAATAAACTTCATTTAGAGGAAATTGGTTTGGAGTTTGGTACTCTAAATAAAATCTTCTTTAAATATATATTTAAAACTATTCAGATTTTAAATTTGAAACCATTTAAAAAAAAACTATGATAAAACAATTTAGTATGGGGAATAATCATCACTATTAACTAGTCCCTTATTACCTTCCTTTTATTAATACACTCACTGGCCACTTTATTAGGTATGCCTTACTAGTACCGGGCTGGACCCCCTTTTGCCTTTAGAACTGTCTTAATCATTTGTGGCATAGATTCAACAATATACTGGAAATATTGACATATTAGCATGACATGTTGACATGATATTGACATGATAGCAGATTTGTCGGCAGCACATTCATGATGTGAATCTCCCTTTCCACCACATCCCAAAGGTACTCTTTTAGATTTAGATCTGCTGACTGTGGAGGCCATTTGAGTACAGTGAACTCATGTTCAAGAAATCCGTCTTGAGATTATTCCTGCTACATGATATGGCACATTATTCTGCTGGAAGTAGTCATCAGAAGATGGGTACACTGTGGTCATAATGGGATTGACATGGTCAGCAACAATACTCAGGTAGGCTGTGGCATTGACACAATCCTCCATTAGTACTAAGGGGTTCAAAGTGTGCCATGAAAATATCCCCCACACCATTACGCCACCACTCTGTAACGAGGCATGATGGATTTACACATCCAAATTTGGACCCTACCATCCAAAGTCGCAGCGGAAAATGAGACTCATCAGATCAGGCAACATTTTTCCAATCTTCTATTGTCCAATTTTGGTCAGCCTATGCAGATTGTAGCCTCAGTTTCCTGTTCTTAGCTGACAGAAGTAGCACCCGGTATGGTCTTCCGCTGCTGTAGCCCATCTGTCTCAAGGTTGGACGTGTTGTGCATTCAGAGATGCTTTTTCGCATACCTCAGTTGTAACGAGTAGTTTGAGTTACTGTCGCCTTTCCATCAGCTCAAACCAGTCTGGCCATTCTCCTCTGACCTCTGGCAGAAACAAGGCATTTGTTCCCTCAGAACTGCCAGTCACTGGAGATTTTCTCTTTTTCGAACAATTCTACGCAAACCCTAGAGATGGTTGTGTGTGAAAATCCCAGTAGATCAGCAATTTCTGAAATAATCAGACCAGCCCGTCTAGCACCAACAACCATGCCACATTCAATGTCACTAAAATCACCTTTCTTCCCCATTCTGAGCATCAGTTTGAACTGCAGCAGTTTGTCTTAACCATGTCTACATGCATTGAGTTGCTGCCATGTAATTGGCTGATTGCAAATTTGCGTTAACAAGCAGTTGGTACCTAATAAAGTGGCCAGTGAGTGTATATTGGCTGTTTATTAGTACTAAGTATATTATTATGCACTTATTGCAATTTCGAAACATAATTACTATTTTAATAACTATTGATACGCTGCAAATTTGGAGTTTATTGAGGCAAAAGTCATAGTTAATGGTTTATTAAGTGACAACTGTACCTTAAAATACAAAGTGACAAAAAATAACCATTTTGATGTTTTGGAATTTCATTTAAACTTAAAAAATGCAAAATAAAAATTGGTTTAGAAACAGGTTTTCTTATTAGTCAAATTCTCTCTACAATCTGAGGCCTCTTTACAAGGTGCTAAAACAGTGGCTAAAATGGTCTACATGCTCATACATTTGCAATACATAGTGGTTTTACATAGTTCACTCCATAGAGGATAGGGTGTGTTTTTAGTTACTGTTACTTTTTTAACCTGAAGATTACATTTAAACTGGATATTAGACCTTGTTTTTAATAAAACTGATTGTCACAAGCTATCAGATGCTGGATGAGGAGCCACACAATATGACCCACCCTAACATCATGTTTCAGTGGAAATGATGTCAATCAAGTGAATAAAGCTGCACATTTCAAGGCACTTCAGTGAGCATCTGGGTCCAACCTAGTGTCTCAGGTGTTCTTTAGTAAATGCTTGTGGGAAACTGTTGACCCCTTTTGTCACTCAGCTTGTGCATTCTGCTTCATGAGCATTCTTTGACATGATTAATGAAGATCGCATTGTTTTTAATAGATTGCTTGTATCTTGAATAGTATTTTACATACTGTGAGTACATTTATTACATCCACTGGTGATGGAGTGAGCTCACTTACCTCAATCTCTTGGTTTTTATTGGTTCAAAGTCATCATATATTATTTTCCCTTTTGACACATGACATAAATATAATCACACTTTTTGGAAGGTCCTGAACTGGGGATGCTGGGAATTCATGCGTGAAGGATTTGAAGGTTTTGTATGGCTAGAGTTTATTGTGAGCACTGCCTTCAAGTAAATGAAATACTGTCAGTTTTATTGATAGAAAAGATGGAGAGAGGATCGGGAATGATATGGAGAAAAGGGGAAATGGGATCAGGAAATGCTGCAAGATTCATGTCGCCTGTTAACCACTATGGAGTTGGAGCAGATGCACTAAACCGCAGCTCCTAAGTGAGTTCTGTGGCCTGAATGACTATTCCAGTGAATAGATCCAGACAAATGTGGCAATAAGTGGACTGCGGTTTAAACCAGGCAGTTGCTTGACCATCATAATGTACTGTGTGTTTGTATGGATTTCAGGCACCAGTCAGATCAGAAATGTTAATGCATAAGAAGCTATATAGAATTCTGCAGTTTCTTGCACTAAAGATGACTCTGTTCAGCCGGAAATTGGCTAATGTATTGGACTCTTGCTAATGTATTGGATTCTTTTTAAAAAAGCCAGTAAAATGCAAAAACTCTGCTTAATGGGTCATTGTTTTTTCATGTCTTTAAATTTAAAATGCACTTATACTGTAATATAATATGCTTATTCAATGTTATTTTTTAATACTGCAGGCAGAAGCATGTTTCATTAAAGGTAAAATTGAGTATAAATATAATAAATATATAAGAACAGCATTTCTGTTAAGATGATGACTGCACAAACGTCATTACACTGCGTGTACTGGAAATCCTGTAAAAGGGAAACTTATTTTATTTAAGGGTTGTGTTTGGTTCTGCACTTAAATAATTTTGTTAGAATGATTACCCCCCCCTCCCCCCGTTTATTTTTTTTCCTCAATTTTTGTTAAACAGAGAGATTTTTTCCAACACATTTCTAAACATAATTTTCTAATAACTGATTTAATTTATCTTTATCATGATGACAGTAAATAATATTTGACTAGATATTTAACAAGACACTTCTATACAGCTTAAAGTGACATTTAAAGGCTTAACTTGGTTAATTAGGTTAACTAGGCAGGTTAGGATAATTAGGCAAGTTATTGTATAATGATGGTTTGTTCTGTAGACTATCGA